AATTGTCTAGGGTTTCGATGCGACAAGCTTAAGGCTATAAGGGATAGAAGTGGAACTGTACAGAACGCAAACAAGTGCATGCAGCAGCTAGCATGCGAGCCCGCGAGCAACATCAAACACCATCGAACCATGATTCCACCGATCCAGGACAAAATCTCATCGATCGCTTCCAAAGCAATCGTGTGACAGTGTGACATCGGCAGTCAACCGAAAGCGGAATGGTATACTAGACAATGGCCTTTGCGTCCAAGGCAGTGGCCCTGCAACAGAATCGCCAGCAAAAGCTCTTGCCATACTAAACTTGGAATGAAAAGCCCGCAAAATACCCGAGTCCCTACAGCCTATAAACTTCAAACCTAAACCCTGAACTCAGGAGCCCTCGGTTCTGCATGCCCGCCGCCTGCAGGCGGTTGATCCGCAAAAAAGAACCAAACGCAAGCAGACTCTGGCCTGTCCCCCTTTCCCCCTCTCCCATCACATCATGACATCAGATTCCCTGTCGCAGTATTTCAGGAGACGCGCTCCTCCACTGCAACTTCGTCCCGGAGAGTACTCCAAGACCAGGCTCGGGAACCAAGCCTCACCATGACCGCACTTCCGGCGCCTCCAACCTGGAAGGAAGCATCACGGGCAGCCAGAAATCGTGACTTGGGCCGGGTAATTAACTGACACCCCAAGGCGGAGGTTTGCCGCCCGACGACACTATCACTGGGCGGCCCTGCCTTCCTGACTACGGCAGACACACCAGGAGGAAAGGCACCAGAGGAGCCAAACCACCCGGCCGGGTTATCACAGAAGCCGCCACCCTCCAGTGTCGACTTCCTACCCTCTGCACTAGGGGGTTTATGGTTTCGAGGGTTAGCCATTTAACTTAACTACCTGACCTGAGTCCTGAGTCTCGAGTCTCGAGGCCAACCAGCCAAACCAACCCCTAGACGGATATTTTATTGGCACGGCACATCAGCACCTGGGACTGGGCCCAAAGCGTTTTTGCATGCGCACCCTTAAATATACAATAACGGGCCCTCCGGAATGTATAAAGTGAGGGGTTGTTGTGTACAGCAACTCACCAGAAATCAGAGCTTGCACATATATTCCAGTCTAGGGCCTGCAGGGTGAGCTGTATCGCCACTATAACCACAAAGAAGGAATCAAGGCTCAAGGGTTTCGAGGTTTAGGGATCCGGGATTGACACAGATCAGTATTTGACACCGCCACAGACTCTGGTCTGAAACGGCGGCCCCGCAGCACAGCCGCAGCCATAGGATCGGCCCGGATCGGCCGCATGATTGCAACGGGAGACTTGCTGAATGCTGAGTGCCCTAAGCCTTCTTCGGGTTTTTGTTGTGTCAGTTTGGCCTGTAGCACTTAGGGTTTGGGGTTATAGGGTTTAGTGATATCCCCTGTTTAGTGTAGTGGGTGGTTCCTAAACTTCCTAAACCAACGGAATGAGGACACCACCCTTGAACAAAAACGCTGCGACCAAAAACCCTATGCAACCCTGAACCCTATAAACCCTGAAGCTCATCGACACTGGACAATACACATGACTGGTCACAGGGCGCTATGCCGACCGGGGGCACTTGTGCTGTTTGGACAGATTCTATCAACATGCACGCGGAAGTGCTAGGGCTTTAGCTAAGGCCCTGGCGAAAACAATTCTGCGCCTGGAAACCTGGGAAATGTATATTTACTAAGGCCCTACAGAGTACTATGTCTATGGCTTTCTCTACAGAGACGGCCCATGCCTCAATACTGTGTCTATGGCTTTCTCTACAGACGACAGACACCAGACACTCTCATAGGAGAGGCCAAAGTACTGTGTCTATGGCTTTCTCTACAGACGACAGACACCAGACACTCTCATAGAAAGAGAGGAAAGTCCCATAGGCATTCATACGGCACTTTCGAATTTCCGAGTCTGCCCACAAGCGAATTCCAGAATTACCATGCACATGCGATGCTAGGAAATCAAGCTTTCGAAACTTTTAAGTCTCTTACCCACAGTTTTTTTCTCACAAAATTTTCTCTTCTCTTTCTATCTCTTTCCTTACGCGCGCGCGCGCGCGCGCGCGTGCGTGCGTGCGTGCGTGGGTGGTGTGTGTTTGTGTGTGTGTGTGTGTGTGTGTGTGTGTGTGTGTGTGTGTGTGTGTGTGTGTTTGTGTGTGTCAAGTTCTCCAGGTGATCTGGCCAGCACTGTCGATCCATCTATCTCTAAACGAGCAGACGTATCCGTACTAGTACGTGCGTATACTTATATATGTATGTATACGTACGTAGGTATGTATGTATGTACGTATGTATCTGGCTGTGGTTGAGGAACTTAAGTCAAGTTGCCCGAACATGGATATGGTTGTGTGTATATATATATATATATTATGTACATGTACACACTGTCATGACATACTTCCTCCTTATTCATGTCAGATGTAGCAACATCTAAGTTTCTAATGCCCTAGACCCTAAACCCTGAAACGCAACCAAGCCCCCCCCCCCCAAACCCTAAACCCAAAACTCTAAACCTCAAACACCCTAAACCCTAAACCCTAGACCCTAAACCCTAAATCCCAAACCTCAAGCCCTCTGCAACGGACCTCGTAGCTTGCTGGTGCAGGGCTGTCCAATGTGTCGGCCCATGACGATGTGCCATACTCCTGGCTGCTGCACTCGGGGCTCCAAACCCGCCGCACTCTCGCCCTGAGGGGTTCAGGGTATAGGGTTTAGGGTTTAGGGTTCAGGGTCGAGGGTTTGAGGGCATGCTCCAGACATCACAGAGGATGCGTTTCAATCTTTCCAGGAGTTTGCCCCCTTTTCTTGGCGGGTTCAGGAGATGTACGAAGGTTGTAACTGAAGTTTGTCACCCTACTTAGGAGCCCTTAACTGGCTTCAGGTTTCATTCCTGTGAATCAAAGCTGCCTTTGCATCCGCGCTCACAGCTAGCAAGCAAGCCCGTTGAAGCTTCGGATGTTGGAGCGTCTCGAAGTGAAGTGGGGAACGATAATATAGGGGCCTTAATGATTAGAATAGGGTCAGAGGTCCCTCCGCGCATTCGCTGGATTTCGCGAGCCTTCTCAGATTTGCGCGCCCGCTCAAAAATTGAGAAGGCCACGTCACTTGGAGAAAATGGACGAATGTGTGGCGGAGCGGATCTCCTCTTCCACTAGTCTTTCGCGCTGGATTTCGCGAGCCTTCTCAGATTTGCGCGCCTGCTCAAAAAATTGAGAAAGCCACGTCACTTGGAGAAAATTGACGAATGTGTGGCGGGCCCTTCGATAGAGTGTTTTTACCCTAAGCCCTAGACCCTAAACTGATTTTTTGTGGGTGGAGGTGGGGGGGTGGGGGTAGTGTAGTATAACTGTACTGTATAACCAAACAGTATAACTCAGCGTCCAAAGCGTTTGGTTGTGCAAATCATGATGCTCCCCTTTGGGGTCTCGGTGAGCTGTACGTCTTCGTGGACAGTATAACTATACAGGGACATTAAGGGAGTAAATGCGATGGAGGCTACTGCACGGGGGGTCTCGGAGAATGGTGCAGTATCTGAAAAAACAGAAGCAAAGCGTTTAGGGTTTGGGGTTTGGGGTTTGGGGTTTACTATTTGCCGGAATCGGGTTGTTCCAGCACAGCGGGTAACAGCGGGAATGTCGGTGTATAGCGGAGGCCCACCTCACACACATTTTTAGGCTTGGTGCTTTCTAGATTCTAGGGTGCAGGATGTAGGTTCAGACGCCAAGGACAAATTTCAAAGCAGACCTAAACTTACCTATACTGGTGAAATAAAAACCTAGATAAGGAAAGCCTTAAACACGACAAGTGGCAATGTAAACCATATACTGTGTCCGTATACTGTGTGTGCAGTATGTCTTCCTGTCCACCAAACCCGGAGCAGGCCTAAACCCTGAACCCTGAACCCTGAACCCTAAACCCTACACCCTGAACCCTAAACCCTAAACCCTGCACCCTACACCCTAAACCCTAAGCCCTAAGCCCTCTAAACCCTGACGAAACAGACGCCCTCCCCGCCGGCAGCTCGTCGCTGACGACGACGACGACCAACTCATCGGCCTTCGCAGGACCGGCCGGCTCCTCCTTAGGGTTTAAGGGTTTTAGGGTTTAGGGTTTAGGGTTTTAGGGTTTAGGGTTTAGGGTTTATGGTTTTAGGGTTTAGGGTTTAGGGCTTTAGGGTTTAGGGTTTAGGGATTTAGGGTTTATGGTTTTAGGGTTTAGGGTTTAGGGCTGCAGGGTTTGGGCTAGGGATTTAGGGTTTCAGGCTCGTTGCTGCTCATTTGAATAGGATTCGGGCTGTACAGGTTCTAGGGCTTTTTGGGTTTGCGGTTGTCGGTTTTAGGGCTTACGGGTTTAGGTGATCGTTCCTAGGATTGGGGTTTTATAGGTGGAGGGTTTTAGGGCTTTGGGGTAGCAGGGTTGTAGGGACTTAGGGTTTCAGGGTTCTGCAGGGTTTTAGTGGTTTAGGGTTTTGGGCTTGCAGTTTTCCCTAGGCGTCGAAGTCTGAATGAACCCTTAACTTTTGTAACTTTTTTGGGTCCCTTGCTTTATAGCCCTTATATACGCTGTAATCCATCAGATCCCTAGAAACCAAGGGTAGGAGACCATGCTAACGGCCCATGGTTCCAACCTTAGATTTTCTCTTGGGGTGGATACAGGGTCCCTGAATCTTAATTGGGGAGCCCCAGATACCCCTTATATGCCCTAGAAAACCCAAGGGACCATACTTCAGAACCCTTTAAAGAAGGCAAGGGACCATAAGGGACCCGTAAACTCTAAACATAACACCCTAAACCCACATGGGTATGTCCCAAAATCAGGGGCACCCCTTTTATACCCCCAATAGAACAGAATCCCCTTAAAAGGATCCCCCCCAGAAGGGTATTCCTATTTTCGGAAACTTCCACATTACTTGGTTGCTATTCAACCCCCCCAATAAAAGGTTTAACTTTTAACAGCTCCCGTAATATGAATACGAGGAGCCCCAAAACTTCTAACCCTAAACCCTAAACCCCAAACCCTAAACCCTAAACCCTAAACCCTAAAACCTAAACCCTAAACCCTAAAGTTGCAGTAAAGTCCCACCTAGATAAACGGCACCACGTAACTTCCCTCAGATTCGCCGAGCTTTCGGGGCTTCAGGCGTGGGAGTCCCTTAGCGCAATCGCAGAAAACCGTAGGCAGCGGCTTAGGGTTCAGGGTTTAGGGTTTATAGGATTTAGGGTTTAGGGATTGGGGTTTAGGGATTAGGGTTTAGGATTTTAGAGTTCAGGGCTTCCCTGCGCTCGAGAGGTCGGTCCTTGTCCACTTTGGGCAAAGAAGGCGGGGCCTCCACCTGGCCGCAAGTAGCCGCCCTCGCAAAACCCTGAACCCTAAACCCGAAATTCTCCGCAAGCTAGATCACCTCTAGAGGTTTCCACAGAACACGCACCCCTAGTAGCATTGCATTTCTAGTAGCGTTGCATGAGGTGCGAAGTTGGGGTGTCTACTTGACAGTAATAACCTCTGCGCTAGTAGGCAAAAACAGGGCAAACAATGAATGGAGTCTGGGCGTGGGATATACCTTCAGCGAAACAGGCTACCCTGTTCCCCTCAAAACAGAAGTGTACCGAATGCCCAACCCTAAACCCTAAACCCTAAACCCTAAACCCTAAACCCTAAACCCTAAACCCTAAACCCTCAACCCTGTAGGCTTAGCAAGCTCGTCTACAATGGCTGACAAGGTAGCTGTTAGGAGATTGGGAGAACATCCTGGGAGGTCGCAACCTGCAAGGTTTCCCTCTCAAGCCTCAACTCCACGGGCGTAGGGTTTAGGGTTTAGGGTTTAGGGTTTGGGGTTTAGGGTTTAGGTTTAGAGTTTAGGGTTTAGGGTTTTGGGTTTAGGTGCCTTCCACCCGTAAGCCCTACCCCTGAACCCTAGAAGGATTTCAGGGCTCCACCTCTAAATCCTACATTCCACGGGTTTCACCCATGGCTGTGGCTGTTTAGGGTTTAGGGTTTAGGGTTTAGGGTTTAGGGTTTAGGGTTTAGGGTTTAGGGTTTAGGGTTTAGGGTTTAGGGTTTAGGGTTTAGCCTCAACGCGGCTCGGTGTCTCCTCTGGCTCCCAGTCGGCGGGCGCACCTTGGGGGCGAATGCACTCTCGCTGGTTAGGGTTTAGGGTTTAGGGTTCAGGGTTCAGGGTTTAGGGTTTAGGGTTTAGGGTTTAGGGTTTGGGGTTTGGGGTTTGGGGTTTGGGGTTTGGGGTTTGGGGTTTGGGGTTTGGGGTTTGAGGTTTGAGGCTTGGGGTTTAGGGTTTCGGATTTAGGGTTAAGGGGGTTTAGGGTTTAGGGCTGCTTGCTTGGAGGTATTCTGGGTAGCTATAAGTATGGCTATATGTACCCCCAAAATACGGCTATGAACACTTATAACTAGAGCTACCCTAAAACATCACTAACCCTAAGCCCCACTTGGAACTACCCATGAACCTCCAAGTAGGGCTTATCAAGAGAGAATATGGATGGACTGAAGGACTCTGAATTCCTCGTTGTAATCCTAGAAGATTCCTTCTTGAGACCCCGAAACCCCAAGCCCTGAACCCTATGAGCCCTAAATTGGGTTTAGGGTTTGGGGTGTAAGGTTTGGTCTGTAGGGTTTAGAGTACCTCCTCAGAAAGAAATGGGACGAATTCACGTGGGGCGGGGGATTGGGTGGTCTCTGCTCCACAATCCTCGACCTGAGCTTACCAGCTACAACCCCATAAATCCGGAAGACCACAAAACGTCGTTAAGTCCAGGGGCACGTCCTTGTCCCCTTGGGGGCTTATACGGTGTCTGCACTCTTTAACCCACAGCCAAACCCTAAACCCTAAACCCTCAATCCTAGACCCTAAAACCCCTAGACCCTAAACCCTGAACCCTAAACCCTGAAGCCCTAGACCCTATACCCTAAGCTTAACCTTTGACCCCTACTTCAGCCCAGGGCCTCCTTCCCAGAGCGCAGCCCTGGGCCCCCGCACCACAGGCTGCGCAGAACTTTGCGCCAGGCGTGAGCCTCAGTTGGGGGGTCAGGGTTTAGGGTTTAGGGCTAGGATTTAGGGTTTGAGGGTTTGAGGGTTTGAGCGTTTGAGAGTTTCAGGGTTTGAGGGTTTGAGGGTTTGAGGGGTAGGGTTGCTCTAAATCAAGACACCTGACCAGATTTCCGGAAGGATCTAAAGAGACCAAGCTGCCCAATAGAAAAAACTCAAGGAACCCTTACATGGGGATCTACGTTCTAGCAAGGGATGTATGGCATCTCCTGACACCTCGCATCTCCACCTCACTGATGGCATCGCAGTTTGCAACTGCACGCATAGTAAGGAGAAATGCCAGCTGGAGCACGATTGGCGAAGGTGTCTTCGTCGGCCCGGCCGAGTACCCTCATCAACGTCACATCCACTCACCTCCGTCAAAGTGACATCCACTCACCTCGGCCCTCTGCAAGAAAAGGTTTCCGAAACAGCCTTTTCTATCAGGTGTTCACACACACAGACATACATACACCCCAATCTGGCTGGTTCTTAGGAGGGCCCTATAGAATCCCTTAAAGGGTATCTATAGGGCCTCATTCCCTACGAAGAACCAGGGGGTAGTCCCTAACCCCAGGGGTAGGAACGCACCTAAGCGGGCGCGCAGCCGGGCGGCTGCGCTGCGCAGCGGCGGCAGTGCTCCCCCTCGCTGCCATCGCCGTGCTCGGGACTCCACCATTGACCCCCCTGGCAGGTTTAGGACTTCGGCTTCAAGGTGTTTGGGTTCAGCTGGTTTAGGACCAAGTTTAGGATTTAGGCCTTAAGGTGTTTGGGTTTAGGGTTCCTAAACCCCTAAACCCTAAACCGAATCCCTAAACCCCAAGCCCTAAACCCTTCTGTTGCTGTGGGTGTCCCCGTTGTACGGTGGCACTGGCAGAGTTGAGCTTGCTGGCTCTTAGTAGGGTATCTGGGAGTCAGGTTCATAACTCTAAGGCAGGTTCACTTGTCAGCAATCATCCCCTCTTCAAAGGTACTCTCATCCCAACACTAAACTTACTAGTTCTTACCGGTTCTTAGTTGGGGCTTAGTGGGGAATGAGGGAATCAGGTACGTGTAGAATCCCTTTGGGGCTTCAAACGGGGGATTGAATAGGGATCATCATAGGGGGTATGATAATCCCTAGGGTTTAAAGTGTAGGGTTTCTTAGTATAAGGGGAACATCCCAATAGGGGATTCCGTCTTATACTAACAGTCCTTAGTAAGGATGATAATTGGGGGGGGGTACTATAAAACCCTAAACCCTAAACCCTAAACCCTAAACCCTAAACCGCAAACCCATCCCTTTTGAGGGACCTTTAGTCTAAGGGGGAGCATCACAATGCACCTGTACCGAGCAGCGGGATGCTAATCGGTTGGGGTTACAACCCAATGATAATTGTCCTTATAACCCAAAAAGAACCAGATTAGGGCACTTCAAGGGCTTGTCAGTGGGTTTTAGTACACTTTTATTGGGTTGCAAGTATCCTGAACCTCCACGTACTGCTGGGAAGTTCAATGGGCACTTCGAACTGGGGTTGTGAGTAGAGTTTAGCAATAGTTGAAAAGGAGGCATGACCTTATTTCGGGGTACTTGGAACCCCTACTTATGGCTTGTACCCATGAACCTTCAAGTAACCACCAAGCCCCAAACCTTGACAAGACCATTCGGCCCGAACCCGGCAACCCCTAAACCCTAAACCCTAAACCCTAAACCCTAAACCCTAAACCCTAAACCCTAAACCCTAAACCCTAAACCCCAAACCCCAAACCCCGGCCTCCTCCTCCACCACCTGCTTCTGCCCGCGCTCCTCGTCGCGCCGGCTGCGCCGGCGCTGCTTGCGGAGCTGCTCCTCCTGCAGGCTGGCTTGGAAGTTTAGGGTTTAGGGTTCAGGGACCCTAAACCCTAACTAAACCATAAACCCTAAACCCTAAGTAGGTTCAGTGCACTTCTGAACCCAACTATAACCGGGGTTCCTAAGCTTTTAAACCCTAAAGCCTAAACCCCTACTCCCGAAGCCCTAAACCCCAACGCACAAATGGGCTCCCAGTGAGCCCGGACCCGACTAAAGCTATTCATTTTGTGCGTAGCGCAGTGCGATCATGCCTCTAGGCGCCCCCCGAACAACTCACGCCCCTAAGCCCTAAGTCGTCGAATCTTGGGATGTTCCGCCCTTATACTAGAAGTCCTTAATGTGGATTATAGTACCCCTTATGATAATTCCTATGAAGGACTGTTAGTATAAGGGGGAACGTTTCAACTCGTATCCCAAAACGTGGTCCACAACCTTCCGAAGCAGCAAAGTACAACCCCAAGAGCCTCATCCTCAGATCCCTGACCATTTGCGCCCAGGTTTAGGGTTTAGGGTTTAGGGTTTAGGATTTAGGGTTTAGGGTTTAGGGTGCAAGACCCTGGCATCTGGAACACAGATCCCGCTGAGAAGCTATACGAAATACGAAATGACCCCAAACCCTAAACCCTAAACCCTAAACCCTAGACCCCAAACCCCAAACCCCAAACCCTAAACCCTAAACCCTAAACCGCAAATTCAAGAACTAAACAAGACCCCCAGCCGTGCGTCTTGAAATCCTACGTCGACCCTAAACACTGAGACCCCCAATCCCAAACCCTAATCCCCACGGGTTCCCCTACTACTACTTGCTTAAGAACCCCGAAAAAAACAAAAATATTCTTCCTTACACTAAGGGTAATATAGGGATTGTTATTCTTTCTTCTTTTTGGGGTTCTTAAGCATACAGTAGCCTACTACCCCCTCCATACTATCCCCCCGCTTTCCAGGTTCCCCTCTTAAAAAACCTCAATTAGGCTTACTTGTCCATAAATCGACATATTTATGTTGGGGAACCTAGGCAGGGTAGTATAGACAGGGGTACTTGGAGAACACCCTGCGCTCTCCCTAAACCCTAAACCCTAAACCCTAAACCCTAAACCCTAAACCCTAAACCCTAAACCCTAGCCCAAAACCCTAAAACCCTCGAGGGAAAGAACGATGTCTCCTCGAGCCACCTTTCGAGCTCCGCGACCGAGAGCTGGCGCACCTTCGCAACTCGCGCGAGAACCCTAAACACTAAACCCTAAACCCTAAGCCCTAAGCCCTAAAGCCTAAACCCTAAACCCTCCCAGCCTTTCCTATGAAGTTCTTGGAGGGGGTGTAGGGTTTAGGGCTAGGTGACCCAATGTTCCCTACTACTCCCTGAGTGTTCTCTTCCCTCCAGGATCTTGTAACTTTCTTTCTATTCACCAAGACAAGTCTGCCGCGCTGCTACTTTTCCCTAACCCTAAACCCTAAACCCTAAACCCTAAACCCCGAATCACTGGCAGAGCCTAGAGGCGAAGATTGCAAAGACTGGCTTGAGGGAACGGAAACAGAACACAACAAACCGTTGGGGCTTAGGGTTTAGGGTTTAGGGTTTAGGGTAGGGATATTTATGGTTTAGCTACGGTCATCGAGCCATCTCTAAGCATTTCCCTCCACAGGAAGTCCGCGCGCTTCAGTCAACAATTGCGCTTGTGTTTCCGAATCGGCAATCACCCATGCTAGGCTGCAATGTCTTGAGAAGTGTGTAAGGTACCCAGTATTTCGGGGTTCAACTTGAAACCATGAACCCAAAGAACCCAAACTGGAACCTGAAAGAACTGTTGTGGAATAAGCCGAAAGGATATTTCGCCTCGCGGATGGTGAGACCACTCTCCACGGATGCTCTCCGAAGTCCTTGGTGGCCTAAACCCTAAACCCTAAACCCTAATCCCCAAACCCTAAACCCTAAACCCTAAACCCTAAACTCTGATGGTTTAGGGTTTAGCGCGGTTTAGGGGATGTGGGCTCCGATCACACCAGTGAAGCCCGAACCTAACTTCGGCCGCATGTGCGGTTGAGCCACAAGGACCGCTCTTGCTGAGAGTGGAACACGACATTTGCCAAAACCTAAACCCTAAACTCATTAAAGTCACGGGCGCTTTTGTGCGCTTCATGCGGAGACTCCGGCTTTTAGAAACGCAGCTGTGCTACGCGACAGTCGGCTTAGGGCTATCCCTGCGCTCTTGTAGGTAATGGCATTGAGCTTGATGGCTCAAGTTTTAGGGAAACGTAAGCACCATATTGTTATAACTATCGCTTAAAGAAGGGGGGTTTCGAGGGTTCACGGCTGTGTGATCTTAGACGCTGCTCGGAGGCTCGTGGGTCGCGACCTCATGTTGCCACTGCTCATGAACCTCCACCGAAAGAGCTGGCTATGACCCCTAAACCCTAAACCCCAAACCCCAAACCCTAACCTAAGAAGTATCCTCGAGCCTCCAAAGAGACCCTGGACTCCCACCACCTCGTTTCTTGCAAGGCCCCAGGCACGCTGCAGCTTCTCCAGCTCCTTTCAAGGGGAGGGTTTAGGGTTTAGGGCTGTCGGGCTCAGGGTTAGGAGGGTTTAGGGTTTAGGATTCAGGGCTTAGGGTTTGGGGTTTAGGGCTTAGGGTCTAGGGCTGAGGGCTCAGGATCCGAAGCTCTAACGACTCAAAACCAACCTCACAAGGGGAGGGAGGGGGGGGGGGGGGGGGGGGGGGGCGCACCTGCAGCTATGTTTCAAAGTTGCGGGCTTTTTGAGGCTGGTTGAGTGCCAAAGGATGGCATCGAGGGTTAGGGAGCTTTGGGCTTAGTCATTTAGGGTCTAGGGTCGAGGGTTTTAAGGTCCACTGCCTTTTCTCATGGGAGGGTAGAGACTGCCTGGTGCTGGTATTTTGTCCTTTCAGGGGGGGGGGGGGGGATTGGAGTCGGACCCTAAACCCTAAACCCTAAACCCGAAACCCTAAACCCTAAACCCTAAAACCCCTGATCCTCCCAGGGGTCTGGGTCGTCGCTGCAAGAGTCCAAGAGCAAAGTACATGTCTGAGCGAACAACAGCACCAAAGGCCTCCCAAAGCCCTTTAACACCCTGATGCTGACTGCTGCAACAGCCATGGAAACGGAAAAGTAGAACCATTCCTGTGAATGCTTAGGGTTTAGGGTTTAGGGCTTAGGGTTTAGGGTTTAGGGTTTAGGGCCGAGGACACCAGGAAACCCAAATCCCCAAAACCCTTACTTCAAAACCAACGCGAAGATTCTACAAAGTAGATGCTCCCTTCAGAGGGCTCCTAGAACCCTTCCCCAAACCCTCAACCACTGATGGCTCTCGCTGGGTCGGATCCCGGGAGTCTATGGCCCCTCCTCAACCCTAAGCCCCAAACCCTAAACTAAACTCTAACCCTAAACCCTAAACCCTAAACCCTCAACCCAAACCCTGAACCCCTAAACCTCTTTGGGCATCGGCCCGGGCAGGACCAAACACATGTGCGGCGCCTCGTTGTCGGCACCTTGAGGCCAGGTTCGCCCTACAGACCACCTTTTATGTTGGGGGAGCATTTGCTAAGGTTTGGGGGTAGGGTGTAGAGTTTAGGGTTTGGGTCTTTGGGTTTGGGGTTTGGGGTTTCAGGTTGGGGTTTCGGGTTTTAGGCTTTGGGGCTTGGAGATTCCGCTTCATTGGGGATTCTTTCTGCTAGTCGAATCGGCATCCTCATGTCCCTAAACCTACACCCTAAACCCAAAAGTAATGCAACGGGTGCTTCTGAAGTTAGAAGCAGGTTATCTCGTTGCTTTCACATGACCTGTGCATGGATCGCCTCTTCCCCTTCTATAGTCAAGCACCACGTGGAAAGCCGTGAACGCGCGCTGCTGGACGACGCGGGACAAGACGTAAACCCAGTGCACAAGCATCAGACCACAAAGCGGACACGTGAGAAGTCGGGCTTTGTGACAGCAGAACCCCTTCCTCCTTTATCGCATGACTAAGCCAAGCAGCCCCAAACTCGAAACCTGAACACCAAGCCCAGACAGGACCCATGAGACTTTGCCTGACAAGAAGCCCGAAATTCGTCCAGAACCTGCCTGACGCCTAAATGCTGGACAACATCAACTCATGGTTCTCATGGGAAAGTCAAGTCATATCAGAAGCACAAGTAGCAACAACTTGACCGCACCTTCTGCGTGGCGTGCCCTTACATGAAGAAGCAAGGCCTAAGCGAGCCTTTCTGAGCCCGAAGCCACGCTCGCCGCGGTATGGTCTTGAGCTGGTGTACCGATATGCCTTATTAAAAGGGGATCCTGATATTTGGGGGTCTATATTAGGGTCTCGTATTCTTGTAAGCCCCCAAATACCATTTGCAGACGTATCGAGTGCCTTTTGTACCATTTCGTATCTGTTGCCAGGCATGGCTGGATGATCCAGGACGAAATTCAACCGCAGCTCTCGCGCAGGGTGTAGGGTTTAGGGTTTAGGGTTTAGGGGCAAAACTATCCCGAAGCCCCAGCAATGGAAGTCGCTTCCTGCTGGTGGTATGATTGAGGCAGCGTGCATGGAGACAACCGCAAAGTCGTGTTGCGCATAGACTGGGCGCATGTTTTTGTTTTTTTTGCATTACTACTGGCGCTAATCCAGCGTAGACTCAAAATCCTCAACCCTGAGCCCCCCTAAACCCTAAACCCTAAGCTCTAACCCTAAACCCTAAATCCTAAACCCTAAACCCTAAGCCCTAAGCCCTAAACCCTAAGCTCTAACCCTAAACCCTAAACCCTACACCGCATAGGGCTCCCAAGATCATGTCTGAAGGAAGACTTTTTGCCCCAAAGCCTTGAACAGGTCTCCGCAGCGCCTAAAACCCGCAAGGTGCGGAAACTCGTCCTTCCATCTTGGGCCCACAAATCCTTTTAGGTAGGGTTTAGGGTTTAGGGTTTAGGGTCTAGGGTTTGGGGTTTAGGGTTTAGGGTTAAGGGTGCAGGGTTTAGGGTGCAGGGTTTAGGGTCCGCCGACCCTGGTGGTGTGTTGGATGGTTTTGGGGGAGGGAACCCTCCCTTACACCCCCAACATTAAAACGGGGGGGGGGGGTCGGGTGGGGGGTCGGTGCACAATTTTTCATGGAGGACCGCGCCACTCACACGACGTAAACGCATCGACCATAGGCGGTTCAGCACAGGGGGTAGGGGCTCTTTGGCAAAACCTCCACCCCCCCCACCCCACCCCCCCCCCACCCCCCCGCCCACACCCCCACACCAGCCCGCCCCTCCAGACTGCCCTACAGCCCAACCAAACCTGCCCCAAAGATCGAACCCAAAGCCCCAAAACTACCCTCAAGACAACAGCATTAGACCCACACAGGCTCAAACCTGGAGTGAAGGTTCTGGAGTCTTGAGGGATTAGGGTTCTGGGTATAGGTTTATGGTTAGGGGTTTGGGATTTAGGGACTGGGTTTGAGGTTTCACGTGTTGCAACCTTACGCCAACCACTCCAAGAGTTCGAAGCCTCTACCCCCCCATTCCCACAACACGTCCTCAAACCCCCGAACCCTGGTTTAGGGGTTTAGGGTTTAGGGTTTAGGGTGTAGAGTTTAGCGTTTAGGCTTTAGGGTAACAACAAGCTCCGGCTTTGAGGCTCTTGGGTCGGCGGCCTGAGCCGGAGGCTCCTAAATTTAGGGTTTAGGGTTTAGGGTTTAGGGTTCGACTTCTTCTTAAGACAAGAACATTCGGGGGGTGGGGTGGAGATGAAGAGGTTTAGGGTACTAAAAGGAACCCCTCAAAAAGAGTTACCCTAATTCTGGGAAAGCCCCTTATGGGCTTTAACCCTAAACCCTAAACCCTAAACCCTAAAAAGGACTAGACGGGAGGTTTCAGGCTTAGCCGGTTGAAACTCTGAACTTTACCATCGGAACCTTTTGTAGGTCTGCGAAGGGGATGTGTTGTCAAAGTGATTCCCTAAACCCTAAACCCTAAACCCTAAACCCTAAACCCTAAACCCTAAACCCTAAACCCTAAACCCTAAACCCTAAACCCTAGACCCCAAGCCCACAAAGTGCCACCACAGCTCCTTGCGGGACTGTTGAGGTACATGCGTGGGATCATCTGCTCGAGTTCCGGGGGTTCGCCTTGAAACCTTATTCGTCAAATCCCTGTTTGGGGCTCAGGCTTTAGGGCTCAGGGTTGAGGATTTAGGTTTTGGGCTTCAATCCCCAATATGGGGCTTTCCCAAACTTAGGGTCTCTTCTGAGTGCGCTGTGTGCCCTGTGCCCGCAGGTAAAGCCCTAAACCCTAAACCCTAAACCCTAAACCCTAAACCCTAAACCCTAAACCCTAAACCCTAAACCCTAAACCCCTTCCTTTAGCTAGTGGGAGCTCCGCCTGCCACCTTGGCCGCATTCTTCGGCGCCTTCGGCGCTTCGCTCGGCGCTTCCTGCGGGGTCGCTTAGGGCTTTCTCGGAGGGTCAGGGTACTTAGAACCCAATGGGGTTTAGGGTTTAGGGTTTAGGGTTTAGGGTTTAGGGATTAGGGTTTAGGGCGACTGATGACCCAGACATAACTGTACCTTAAACCCACTTATCAACCCCTTTACTAACGTAAGATGGTTCTGATTTGGTTCTTAGCACAGTTGTATTTGGGGAATGAAGTGCCATGCGCATTCAGGTCGCATGGCTTAGGCTTTTCGCGCAGCCGTTTATGGTGGTACAACATAGGGCCCACAGAAGGGATCAAACCATTTTTCAGAGAAACAAGGGGCCTTAAAGCGCTAAACCCATAAACCCCTAAACCCCTCAACCCCTAAACCCCAAACCTCCTAAACCCCTAAACCCTAAATCCCTAAACTTTGGCGAACCGACCCTAAACCCTAAACCCTAAAACCCTAAACCCTAAAACCCTAAAACCCTAAAACCCTAAAACCCTAAAACCCTAAAATCCTAAAACCCTAAAACCCTAAAACCCTAAAACCCTAAAACCCTAAAACCCTAAACCCTAAAACCCTAAAACCCTAAAACCCTAAAACCCTAAAACCCTACAACCCTAAAACCCTAAACCCTAAACCATCAGATCCTGCGGCTCCACGGCCGCCGGGGCTGAAGGAGGCGCCTTCGGCGCCACCCTCAGCTTCACGAAGGCCTGGCAGGGGCAGACCTAGGACCTAGGATGCTCAGTATCCTAGGATTCCAAAGGGTTTAGGGTTTAGGGTTTAGGGTTTAGGGTTTAGGGTTTAGGGTTTAGGGTTTAGGGTTTAGGGTTTAGGGTTTAGGGTTTAGGGTTTCATGCTCAAAGGAGTTACCTCATAAGGGAGCCTAAGCCGCCCGAAAAGGGAAGAAGGGTACTTCTGGGCATCCTAGAGAGGCGGCCGCCAGGTTTCGACTTTTAGGGTTTAGGGTTTAGGGTTTAGGGTTTAGGATTTAGGGGTTAGGGGGCTAAGGTTTTGAGTTTATGGTTTGGGGTTCGGGGGTTTAAGGTTTGGAGTCTGGGGTTTGGGGTTTAGGGATTTAGGGGTTTAAGGTTTGGGGTTTGGGGTTGGGGGGGTTTATGGTTTGGAGTTTGGGAGCCGGCCCTTGGGAGGGCCAGCTCGGTGTCCTGTACTGCTTGTGGGTCCCGTTGGGCCAAGGAGATCCAATAGAGGAGCCTTCATCATTGGAGAGGGTCGTGTGGGGTTATTCTGGTATAACTTCTTCTTGCGACCGTAAGGGAATACCACTAGCGGGACCCCTAAATTGCGCCAGAAGCTCTCGCACGCGAGCAAGCGAAGTGCTGCGTCGAAAAAAGCTCTAGACCCCAGAGGTAAGCTAGGAATAGACAAGCGTGCCCCTTTTGGTTTTAAGTGGCTTTTCATGAGGGAACCTCAACCCTTATAAAGTACCCACGAACCTCCAAGTATCCTCAACCCTAAACCCTAAACCCTACACCCGAAACCCTAAGCCCCAAAAACTTGCAAGTCGACTCTCAGTGAGCCGTAAGAAGCTCTGAGTCGCCGCCTGCACGTTCTTGTCGCCGCCCCACTTGGTGCTGCTGGCCTGGGGGGCGTTGAGAACCCTTACCTGGAGCTTCAGTTCATGGTACGTAGCAACCCAGCTCTAACTGGACTTAGAACCCCCGGGTGGCAAGCCCCTTAAGTGCCCGAATTAGGTTTCAATTGGGTTAGTAAGTGCCATGAACCTGCGAGTACGTAGACCCTAACGCACGAAAAGTGCTAGGATCCTATTCTTGAAAGGGCCGCCTCATCGCAGCGAGAGCCTCGCAACCTTCGCGTCTATCATCTGTCAAGCTTAACCCGACCCTTGGAGGTTTAGGGACCCTAAACCCTAAACCCTAAACCCTAAACCCTAGACCCTTAAACCCTAAACCCCTCAACCCTGAACCCTAAACCCTTTACCACAGTGGGTGTCCGGAGCTGGTCAACCAGGTCCCGCAGTATCCTAAGAAGCTCCAGCTCTCTCCTGCCCCCTCCCAAACCCAAGAAACTCAAACCCTAAACCCTAAACCCTAAACCCTAAACCCTAAACCCTAAACCTTAAACCCTGGACCTAAAACCGAAAACTTCTCTCAGAACTTCTAGTAAAATCCCAAGCCCATCCTAAACCCCAAACCCAAAACAAAAAGCACCCTAGCAAGCAGCCTCCAAAAGCTTGAGCTCACCATCAAAGCCGTTGACCGCCTTCAGATGTGGGCTTTGGCTTGGGGTTTATAGAGTTTAGGGTATAAGGTTTAGACTTTAGGCTTTGGGGCTTTAGAGCTTTAGGGCTTTCGGCAATTGAGGATTAAAAGGACAGGGAAGGACTCTTTGTAGACCACTGTGCGGGTGGCTTGATTCTGCTGGCGGGGGAACCCTAAACCCTAAACCCTAAACCCTAAACCCTAAACCCTAAACCCTAAACCCTAAACCCTAAACCCTAAACCCTAAACCCTAAACCCGGGTGGGGGGGGGGGTCCAGGCCGCCTCGGCCACTGCCAGTGTAACATAGCCAAGTCGGTCTGACTTCCTGGGCAACCCGAAGGCCCACACCCTAAACCCTAAACCCTGTAACCTATACCCTAAACCCTAAACCCTAAACCTAAACCCCAAAGTCTTCTGGCTATTGGAACTTCTGGTGAACCAAGTACGCAAATAATGAAAAATCTGCAGTCCAGACCCTAAACCCTAAACTCCGATACGGTTCAATGGGTTTAAGTGTTGACACTCCACCCTAAGCCCCCAAACATCAGTTCAACTGGATTAAGAAGAAGGGTTTCGGGTTTCGGGCTTAGGGTTTGGGTTTAGGCGGTTCAGGAGGTGTAGGGTTTAGGAAACCTGAACCCTAGAATGAGAAAACTTGCAGGGAAGGTGGATGAAGGTTCCCGCTCCTAGGTTCTCGGCGCGTGGGCTCAGTTGCACAGAGGAATTGAGCCGGCTTTGCATGTGTCAGGGGTTGTAGATTTCAGGAAGCCCTTAACCCTATACCCTAAACCCTAAACCCTAAGCCCTAAAACCCTAAAACCCTAAACCCCTAAACCCCTAAACCCTAAACCCTAAACCCTAAAACCCTAAACCCTAAACCCCAAACTCTGCATCAGACTCAGCTCTGAGGCAAGCGTCTTCCTTTTGTCCTCGTCGAAGATTGCGAAATGAAGGACGTCTGCAGGTGCGACCGTGAAGTCGGTCGAAGCATTCCAGACAGGATCCGAAGTGTCCTAGGGTGCAGGAAGTTGGGAGTTTGCGAAAATAAGGGGCCCCCCAATATAGATATAGACCCCCATGAGGTACCCCAAATTCGGAAAACCCTAAATTTGGGGCTTAGGGAATTTGAGGCACGAAGTCGCGAGGCGTGGAGGGGTGGGGTGGGGGGGGGGGGGGGGTTCTTGCTTTCTAGACTTTCTAGATGCTCCCTTGTGTCGGGCAGTGTGTGATGCTAGTAGGACAACAGGGTTCATGGAGTCTATGGGCTTAGGGCTTTATGAAGCCTGAAGCCAATTCAAACACCAAAGGGTGTGGCTCAAGATCAAGGTCCCAGACCCCTGGGAGGATCGAAAAAACCCTGATCCCTAAACCCTAAACCCTAAACCCTACACCAAGTAGGTCCCTTCAAGGATTCCAAAGAATGACCGAGTAGTAGTATAGGGCGCACTTTGTGGGCTTATACTTTTGGATCCTCCCAGGGGCCTGGGGAGGTGTCGTGACGTAGTTGAACGGCCACAACTCCCTGGAGTGGGTTAAGGTTGACCTTTTTATCTTAAATGGGGGCTACAATCCCCAATTTGGTTAAAGGTTCTCCACTCAGGTAAGTCAGTGAATGATCCGAGGTCACACAAGCAAAATGTTGGACGTGGCAGTGGAAAGCACATGTAATGGAGTCGCAGCCATTGTTCTGATGTGCCGGAATGGAAGCATGCTGTTGCACCGCAGCTGCGTCCGGTGTATCACTTCATACTCAAACTAACCGTCCCTAAACCCTAACCCCAAAACCCTAAACCTCTCTACACAGGCAGACAGTTCGACATGCACGCCGGACTCACTTTGCTAAACTGTCGAAGTCTGTTCGCCGGTCCTCCACGACCTCCGTCTTGAAGAAGAGGCTCTTGCCGGGCACGGTGACCTCCATACTCCCCTAAGAACCTTAATAAAACTAATCTTGTTAATATCCTCTTGGGTTTTATATAAAACATAATACTCCCCTTAGAACCTTAATAAAACAAATTTTTTATATCCTCTTGGGTTTTTATATATGCAAAGATACAAATAATTTCCATGCCGGGTACGATGACCTTGCTACAGGGTACACCAATGCGCTCTTGTGAAGCGTCGGCGCACGTGGTTAAAGAACAGTACCCTTGCACCCCAGAAAAATGTAGCTTTCGGGTTTAGGGATTAGGGTAGGAATTTAAGGTAGGGTTTAGCTTTTTCGAGATCCCGTTTCGGAAGTATAGGGGCCAGCGTAGCACGCAGGTGAACTCGGGGAACCTATGGGGGTTACTTGGAGGTTTATGGTACACATTTAACCCAATCATGATTGTACCTATTTATAACCCCAAATGATAACCATGTTAGACCGCTCATATGGGGGGTTGTTCAGGTACAGTAACTGTTGGGTTCTTCGGTACCACGAACCTCCAAGTACAACCTTTGGGGATGAGAGCTGGGACCCCTTGAGGCTAAACAAAGGGTTTAGGGTTTAGGGTTTAGGGCAAAGGGGCTTCACCTCGCACCCTCCGGCCCTAAACACGTAAGCACCCCCAAGGCTAAAAGTTCTGGACGCCCTAAGTAAGGCTACAACCTCTTATAGCTAAGAGCCTCTTATAGCTAATGTTACCCCTCTCGCGACCCCAGTGATAAGTACCCATAGGTCCATAGGCCTTCATGGGATCCCTAAACCCTTCTCACTCAGCAGGGTAGTTTTGGTGACTTAGTAGCCCAGTAACCACATTATATTAAGGGCACCCTTTTTTTGGTTGGTTACTCTATAAGGGAACCAGAACATAAAAAAAGGGAAAGGGTACCACTGGGCTACCAAGGTAGTTTTGGAGGGTCACGTTAAACGTGTCTGGCAAGTACTCAAGCATTCTAGGACTTTGGGGGGGAGGGGGGGGGACCAGGGGCGCAAGGCTTTACAGGGCTACTGGGCTTTAGGGACTTTAGGGTCTAGGGAACATGGTGGCTCAGGGTTGGGCCAAAGCATTCCTGAATGCCTTTCTTGGAGGTTCTTGGGTGCTTAGCAGAGCAGCTAAGGTTCTGGGTGATAACCTTGAATAGGGTACTCAACCATACTTGTATTTTATAGGTGCCCAAGAACCTTCAAGCATGGCTTCGGCCCCTTAAGCCCCATCCCTACACCCCAAAGCCCAAAACCCCAAACCCTAACCTCTGAGCCCTGAACCCTGGACCCTAAACCCTAAACCCTAAGAGGCACTCATCGGCCGGCCTCGCAGAAGGGATCAGATCCCTTGGAGCCCGGAAACCAGTCCTTTTCCAGGATTGAGAGGTGGGGTTTAGGGTTTAGGGTTTGGGGTTTAGGGTTTGGGGTTTAGGGTTCATTTAGAGTTCGTTTAAGGTTCATTGGGAGTGCATGCGCCGATCCTGGGCGGCGTGTTGGATGGCTCTGGGAAAGAACCCTCCCTTTCCCCTCCCTCGCCCCCTCCAAAACCAGGGTTTTCCATGGAGGACGGTGCAACCCGAAACCCTACACCCTAAACCCCCACCCGCTGGAAAGCGAGTTGGGCGTCCTCCCTCTAAGCCCCGAAGAGAGGGCCCGTGCCACTTACGGGGTTGGAAACTCTTTCTAAACTTCTTCGGTCCTGCCTGTACTTACCCCCCCCCCCCCGCCCGTAGAGGGTTTAGCCCAGAGCCCGTCTTACTTGGGGGGGCTAAACACTTAGTTTCAAACAATAAACCCCCTGCGCAACCCTCAACCCTAAACCCCGAACCGTAAACCCTGCACACCATAAACCAGAAACCCCAACCGTAAACCCTAAACCCTAAACCCTGCACACCCTAAACCCTAAACCCTAAACCCAAAACCCAAAACCCTAAACCCTAAACCCCTAAAACCCTAAACCCTAAACCCTAAACCCTGAACCCTAAACCCTAAACCCCCAGCGCACCGCGTCTCGCAGCCCCCGAGCCGACAGGACTTCAATGTGCAGGGTGAGGTCCTGGTAGGTTTAGGGTTTAGGGTTAGGGTTTAGGGTTTAGGGTTTAGGGTTTAGGGTTTAGGGTTTAGGGTTTAGGGTTTAGGGTTTAGGGTTTAGGGTTTAGGGTTTAGGGTTTAGGGTTTAGGGTTTAGGGTTTAGGGCTTAGGGTGTAGGGTTTAGGGTTTAGAGGGTTTAGGGTTTAGGGCTTACCCAGACCCCTGGGAGGATCCAAGAAGTAGATCGCCGTAAGGGTTCCTGAGAATGACCCCAAGGGTACTATTTGTGGGTTCTACTTTTTGGATCCTCCCAAAAGTTTGAGCAAAGGCTCCAACAGACCTTAAGTAAAGACGGAGGGTTTAAGGATTCGGGTTTGAAGGGTCGAGGAGGGTTTAGGGTTGAGAGTTGAGGGGTTCGAATATGTTAGAAACAGCCTGGGGGGGATAGTCCATCTAGACGCACGAGTAACCTACCAATACACTCAATGCACGGGGTGCGCGTTTTTGGTTAAAAGGGAATAAGCTACCCAGGGTCCTGGTAGCCCAAAACCCTAAAACGTAAACCCTAAACCCTAAACCCAAAACCCTTGACCCTAACAAAGGGAATAAGAGCCTACCCTGGGTCCTAGCCATACTTTAGAGAGGGGCACCGGGGAGCCCCGAGTTTTTGCGCGGAAAGGAGGGAACAAGAGCCTTGGGGTCAAAAGGTTGGGGTTTGGGGTTTGGGCTTGGGGCTTGGGGCTTGGGGTTTGGGGTTTGGGGTTTGGGGTTTGGGGTCGGGCTTTGGGGGGTTCGGGGTTCGGGGTTTGGGATTTGGGGTTTAGGTTACAGGGTTTAAGGTTCAAAACTCTGAACCCTGTGCCCTGAACCCTGACTCTCTGCCCTTAAGGGAGTTTAGGGTTCTTCTTTCGGGTTTAGGGTCTGGGGGAGTTGAGGAGTTGAAAGGGCTTTAAGGGTGTTGTTTGGGATCCTCGGAGTTCAGGAGTTCAGGGTTTTAGAGTGTTCAGTCCTTCTTCGTCGAATCTGAGGCCATGCCATGGCACCGGTCAAGCCCTAAACCCGACACTTCGAGGCGGAGCTTTCTACTTTCTAGACCCAAGAGTAACCCAGGCATACAACCATGAAGGGTTCAAAAGGGCTTGTTTTGGGTTTTTGGGTTTAGGGTTTGGGGTTTAGGGGCTGATAAGGGAACCTAAGCCCTACAAAAAGGGAACAAGTGGCCCACTCTTGGTCCTAGTTACTTCAGCCAGCTGAGATCTTCGGCGACAGCTCCTTCGAATTTTTGCTAGGTCACCCTTTGGGAGCCTCGGAAGGGTTTAGGGTTTAGGGTTTAGGGTTTAGGGTTTAGGGTTTAGGGTTTAGGGTTTAGGGTTTAGGGTTTAGGGTTTAGGGTTTAGGGTTTAGGGTTTAGGGCTTCCCTGTCCTCACCCCGAGCCCCCTAAAGCCGCCAAACCCGAAATCCTACAAACAATCCCTCCTGGGCTTTCAGGTGCTCTAGGGATCAGCACCTGGTTTAGGGCTTAGGGTACTTGGGGGGTGAGTTAGGGGCTATAGGGTTTAGGGTTTAGGGTTTAGGGTTTAGGGTTTAGGGTTTAGGGTTTAGGGTTTAGGGGCTACTCAGGTACATAAGGATGTTAAAAGGTATACATAGGGGTGATATGGGGGAAGCTATAGGGTTGGGATGTTCCCCCTTATACTTTCAGCTCCTTGATAGGGATTACAGTGCCGAACAAGGGCTGGTAGTATAAGGGGCAAAATCCCAAGCTTTAGTGTTCAACACCTGGCCCCCCACGAAATCCTTTTAGCCTCTTTCTTTAGGGCATCGGGTTAGAGTGTTGGGTAAGAGGCCCCTTTGGCCTCAGAGTGACTAAGGTTGCCATCAAGAACCACCAGAGAAACCGGACAAACCGCCATGAGCGCTTCGGTCGTTTTTGCGTCTGCCTACGACAGCACTGGTTGAGGAATCCTTCCATGGGAACGGAGCAGGGGGGTTGTCATGATGGGCCTTGTGGTAATACATTTTATAGGGCTTGCGGTCTAGGTTTGCAGTAAGGGGTTAGGATTTAGCGTGCGGTCATAGGGTCAGCAAACGAGCAAGATGGTCCTCTGCCATAGGCCTGCCGTCCCCGCGAGGGCGAATCCCCATGCAACATTCACGAGGCAGCGAACATGCCTGTGGACAATATTCAACCTTAACGGCGTGATGCCCCGAGCCCTAAACCCTCAACCCCTCGGCCCTGAACCCAAAAATCCAAAACGTTTAAGGGAGCAGGGGTGCGTTCCGATGTTCAAGTACTAGACACTACAAAGCCCCCAAACGGGACATCTCTACGCTATGTATGGCTGACTGTCAGAAGGACCATGAGTTAAGGGCCCTGAGGTACGGAAGCAAGTCTTGGAGACTTCGTAGACCCCCACAATGACTGCGAGGATCTGAAACTCAGGAAACCCTAAGACACAGATCTTAAAGCCTAACCTCCAAACCCTAGCCCTTAACTCTACCTGGCTCTACCTGACTCCAAACCCTAAACCCCAATACCGTCCCGGAAAAATGAATGCAAATTCCCTCCAATGAAGGGGGGGAGCATCGCCTGAAACTCTAGGTGCTTTAAGGGAATCTGCCTGAATCATTGGGAACAGCAAGTAGGGAAACCTGAGACACAATAAACCCTAAACCCTAAACCCTAAACTCTAAACCCTAAACCCTTTAAGGATCTGAAGTTACAGTAAAGCACCACAGAGTACAAGCCCTGAAGCCCTCACCTAGAAGAGGAAGGCCCGCTGCCAAACCTTCCGAATTCTCCGGAGACTCCTTCGAGTTGTTCAGGGGTTTAGGGTTTAGGGTTTTAGGCTTTTGCAACTCCCCCCCCCCCCCCCCCCCCCCCCCGACGAAGCTCTGTCCAAAGAAGAAAGCTTGCTCTTACTAGGCTGCTGCTGGCAGATGGTCTCCAGGAAGCACCTTAGGTACCTTAAGGTTTAGGCTTCTAGGGTTTAGACAGATTAAAGGTTTACGTAGGGGCGGAGGGTCTTGGAGCTTTTCGGGCTTAGGGTTGACGGACCCCCATTAAGCCTGAGTCTGTCGGCTGGGGCTGCATGAGGGCCCCAACATCTCTCACACGCAAGATCAATCAGGGTACCCGACAATCCTGAAACCCCTTAGAAACAAACCCTACACGCTAAAACCCTAAAATCCTAAAACCCTAAACCCCTAAAACCCAAAAACCCTAAAACCCTAAAACCCGAAAACCCTAAAACCCTAAAACCCTAAAACCCTACAACCCTACAACCCTACAACCCTAAAACCCTAAAACCCTAAAACCCGAGAACCCTAAAACCCTAAAACCCTAAAACCCTAAAACCCTAAAACCCTAAAACCCTAAAACCCGAAAACCCTAAAACCCTACAACCCTACAACCCCAAAGCCCTTCAACCCTACAATCCTAAAACTCTAAAACCCTAGAACCCTACAACCCTAAAACCCTAAGACCCTAGAACCCTACAAGCCTAATACCCTAACACCCTACAACCCCAACCCCTAAACCCTAAAACCCTGAACCTTAAACCCTAAAACCCTGAGTGCAACGCTATTAGACGGGGGATTTCGTGAGAGGCTCGGAGGCTCCGGGTTTTCATGGCAGCCCCCCTGTTTCGCGAGGGCCGCTGTGTTTCGCCAGGTAGCTTTGAGCAGTTGCGCCCAGGGTTTAGGGCGTAGGGTTTCAGGATTTAGAGTTTAAGGTTTAGGAATTCAGGGACTAGGGAATTAGTATTTAGGGATTGAGGATGTAGGGTTTAGGGCTTAAGGTTTCAGGATTGACAGCTTAGGCTTCGGGACTTAGGGTCTTGGGTTTCAGGGTTTACGGGTTCGGGTTGAGGGTTTCAGGATTTAGGGCTTCAGAGTTTAGGGTTTAAGGTTTAGGCTTTCAGAATTTATGCTTTAGGGTTGAGGGAATTTGGGTTGTAGGTTTCAGGATTTAGTGTTTAGGATGTAGGGTTGTGGGCTTCAGGCTTTGGGTTTCAGGATTTCGGGTTCAGGGTTTTAGGTTTCAGGATTTAGATTTTTCGGTTCAGGGATTGAGGTTTTAGGGTTCAGGGTTTTGGAACGCCAGGGTTGAGGTGAATTGAGGGTTTAAGGTGACTCAGAAGGACTTCTCGGCATTATTGATATCGGCTTTTCTTGTAAAGCTTTGTGATTGGGTCCTGTACAACTTCCACCTTAACTATACCCTACAAGGAAAGAGGCACAATGAGTGCTTGGGCCGTATTCTACTTGGAAGTTCAGGGTACTTCTAACCCAATTACAACTGTACTTCTAACCCACTTAGAAGCCCTTTGAGTGCTCTGTTGGGTTAGAAGTACACTTATAGTTCGGTTGTTAAGAACTCTGCACCTCCCAAGTAGGTAGTGTAGGACCCTAGGAGACGAGAGCTCTAGAGCCTGTGAGGCAGGGCCCAAAGCTCTTATAGGCCTTAGCCACTGTGAGTCGCAGCCGGCGACAACGGTTCTTTCGCAATCCCTCGTGTGGAGCGCTTCGAGGTTCACGGGTAGGCTGTAGTTGTAACTGGCTACTTATAGCCTACTTGTAAATTACCCTTGAACATTCAAGTAGGCCTTTGTAATTAGGACATAGTTTTCCTTAGAAGTTGGTGAAGTCGCTGAATTCAGTCTTCCCAGACCTTTATGGCCCCTTAAGAGTACCCATGAACCTTCAAGCGAGGTTCAAAAGAAAACGAGAAAACGGGAGCCTTTTTTCAGCTCAGTGAGACACTTGGCGGGCGTGGGTTGTCATGACCAGATGGTGAGGGAAGCTTCAAGGAAAGTGTAATTGGGGTGTAGGGTTTCGGGCGTGGGTGCCTGTTCCCGACGGTCCTAATTCCCCCTAAACCCTAAACTCTAAACCCGAAACCTTTAACACTAAACCCTAACCCTAAACCCTAAACCCTAAACCCTGCACCCCAACTTAGCCTAGGAAACCTTTTAGTCCTCTAAAACCCTAAAACCCCCAATGCCCCTCATAAGCCTTATCAAGCCAAGGTGTGGCCATACTTCAAAAGCCTGTAAAGAAGCCAAGGGACCAATTCGGGTTTAGGGTTTAGGGTTTAGGGTTTAGGGTTTAGGGTTTAGGGTTTAGGGTTTAGGGTTTAGGGCTTAGGGATTCAGGAACCCATGTGCCCAACCTGTGAACCTTGAGTTTCTGTACGGCTTCCTCTCGGAATTGTCAAGAGTATGGTTTCGGGGTTGAGGCCCTGTGCCAAACCCTTTACCCTACATTCTAGGGCTTAGGGTTTAGGGTTTCGGGTTTAGGCCTCTTGGTCGTGCAGTTTCGGCCGGGTAGGTTCCCCTCACAAGCGGCTTACAAAGTCTGGATCCTGGTTGCATTCTGTACTGTGTGAATAACCCTAAACCCTAAACCCTAAACCCGAAACCCTAAAGCCACCCGACGCCTACCGCTCCGCCTCCCTCTCTGACCTGGAGGAGTTTGCATTGCAAGGCGCTCGACTCCTGACTCCGTCAGGGTTATGACAGGAGTGATGGTAGATGTGGCTGGTGGGTTTAGGGTTTAGGGTTTAGGGTTTAGGGGTTAGGGGTTAGGGTTTTCCGGATTCGTGCTTAGGGTTCTGCTGCCAGTTTGACTGCTTCGCCTCCAGTCCGGGTGCCCCAGTAAGCCTCAAAACCCTCCTAAGACCCAGACCTTTGGGAGGATCTGGAAAGAAGATCCTGGGTTTAGGGTTTAGGGTTACTTCAGGGCTCGTTTGTCATGTCATCCGTGCACCCGGAAATCCCCAAATGCCTAGGAGGTTCTACTGGCTAGATGCGTAAGTAAAGCTGCTGCTGGACACTCCTATTAACTGAAGTTGCTTCGGGATGTTTGCTAACAGTTTTGAGCTCAAAGGTTTGGGGTTTTAGGGTCTAGGCCCTTTTTCACAAGGGACTCGTCTACTGCCTAGACCCGAAATCCCAAAAACTTATTTAATAGGGTGCAGAGCATCCTCGTGTTTCTACCATCATTCTGTGGCGCTTGTGCGAGCTTGAAAA